AGGCATGACCTTCCCTTGATGAAGATGTGCTGACTCTGCCCTATTTTATTATGTGCTTACAAGTACTCAGCAATGTCACCCTTAATAACAAATTCTAAAATCTTACCATCCAAGGTCAGGCTAACCAGCCTGTAATTTCCTGTCTTCTCCACCCTCCCTTGCTTAAAAAGGGGTATTACATTGCTATTTTCCAGTCCTGTATGGTGCTTTCTGACTCCAGTGATTCCTGAAAGATCACCACCCAAAGCCTCTACAATCTTCTCAGCTATCTCCTTCAGAACTCTGGGATGTAGTCCATCTGGTCCAGGTGATTTATCCACCTTCAGACCTTTCAGCTTCCCCAGCACCTTCTCTTTAATGACGGCCACTACATTCACGACTGCCCCCCTGACTCTCTTGAAGTTCTGGTATGCTGCTAGTGCCCTCCACAGTGAAAACTTATGCAAACTTCCTATTCAGTTCCTCCACTATTTCTTTGTTCCCCATTACTACTTCTCCACCGTCATTTTCTAATGGTCCAATATCCACTCTTACTCTCACCACTTAGATACCAAAAAAAACTCTTGCAATCTTATTTTATATGACTAGCTAGCTTAACCTCGTATTTCATCTCCCCCCATAGCATTTTTAGTTTTTTTTAAAGGCTCCCATATTCTCCAGCTTCCCACTAATCTTCACCACATTATATGCTTTTACTTTTGCTTTTGCTTTTGTGCTGTCCCTGACTTCCCTTGTCAGCCATGGTTACCTCAGCCTGCCCTTTGTACATTTCTTCTTCCTTGGAATGAAGTTCTGCTGTGCCTCCCAAATTATCCGAGAAAATCCTGTCATTGATGCTTCACTACCTTCCCTGCGAGGCTCCCCTTCCAATCAACTCTAGTCAACTCCTCCCTCGTGTCTTTGTAGTTACCTTTCCTCAATTGTAATGTTACATCTGACTCAATCTTTTCCCTCTCAAAATGCAGGTTAAATTCTATCATATCATGGTTATTGCCCCTAGGAGTTTCTTCACCTTAAGATCCCTAATCAAGTCTGCCCCATTACATATCACCAAATCCAGAACTGCCTGTTCCCTCATGGGCTCCACCGCAAGCTGCTCCAAAATACCATTTTGCAGATATTCCACGAATTCCTTTTCTTGGCATCTGCTACCAACCTGATTTTCCCAGTCCACCTGCATTTTGAAGTCTCCCATTATTATTGTAATAGTGCCTCCCTTACATGCCTTTTCTGTCTCCTGACTTATTTTCTTTCTCACAGCATGACCACTGATACAGGCCTGTACACAATTCATGTCAGGGTCTTTTTCCCTTTGTGGTTCCTCAACTCTACCCATACAGATTCCACACTTTCCAACTCGATATCACTTCTTGCTATCAATTTCATTTCATTTCTTACTAATAAGGCAATCCCATCCCCTCTAACTGTCCTTTCGAAAGGACGCATATCCATGGATATTTAGGTCCCAGCCCTGATCCCCCTGCAGCCACAACATCGTATCCGCCAATTCCAATCTGTGCTACAAGTTCATTCATTCTCACCATTGTTCTTTATCTGCTGTGCCTGAAATTAGTTTCCTGACCATTTCCTCACTCTGTCCTATTAACTATTCTGGAAACTTCAATAACCTCTCCTGAAACTCTCCCCCACTTTAACTGGTGTAAAGTCCTGATGACCACCCTATTTAGCCTTTCCGCTAGGATCCTGGTCCCAGATCGATTTAGGTGGAGCCTGTCCTGAGGGTACAGGTCTCTCCTGTCAGAACACCGATGCCAGTGCCCCATATACTGGAATCTCTCTTTCCCATCCCACTCGTTAGCTTATGTCTCTAATCTTAATTCTTCACCAATCTGCTCAAGTAATAATCCAGGCATTACAACCGGTGAGGTCCGGTTTTTAATTTTCTTCTGAATTTCTGACATTTTCTAAAAAGGACCTCTTGCTTTCTTGCTGATGTCAACATGGACCATAACAGCTGGATCCTCCCTCTTTCACTCCAGTACCTTTCCAAGCTACTCGAGATATCCATCACCTTGGCATTCAGTAGGCAATACACCAGGCAGAACTCTCAATCCTACTGAGAAAGGATAATATATTGACCACTAATTATGGAATGCCGACCACTATCACTTCTCTTTGTGCTACCTGGACCACGGTGCAGGGAGTTTGACCATCCTTCCTGCAGCCCTTTTCCTCATCCACATAGACAGCAAGAACATTGTACCGGTTGGACAAGGTCAAGAGCTGAGGCCCCTCCAACAACACACCCAGGATCTCTCTACTTGCCCCATGTGTTGTCACATGCTCCTCTCTCTGACCAGGGGTCAAATTTCAAATATTTAAGCTACAGGGTGTGACTGCCAGGAACACAGGAGGAGGAGACCTATACCCCAGTGAGAGTCAGCACCTTCAGGAGGGGAGGGGGACCCTGCACCCAAGTGAGAGTCAGCACCTTCAGGAGAGGAGGAAAACCTGTACCCCAGTGAGAGTCAGCACCGTCAGGAAGGGAGGGGGACCCTGTACCCCAGTGAGAGTCAGCACCTTCAGGAGGGGAGGGGGACCCTGTACCCCGTGAGAGTCAGCGCCTTCAGGAGGGGAGCGGGACCCTGTACCCCAGTGAGAGTCAGCACCTTCAGGAGGGGAGGGGGACCCTGTACACCAGTGAGAGCCAGCATCTTCAGGAGGGGAGGGGGACCCTGTATCCCAGTGAGAGCCAGCACCTTCAGGAGAGGAGGGGGACCCGGTATCCCAGTGAGAATCAACACCTTCAGGAGAGGGACCCTTTACCCCAGTGACAGTCAGCACCTTCAGGAGAGGAGGGGAATCCTGTAGCCCAGTGAGAGTCAGCACCTTCAGGAGAGGGACCCTGTACCCCAGTGAGAGCCAGCACGTTGAGGTGGTGAGGGGTTCCCTGTAACCCAGTGAGTCAGCGCCTTCAGGAGGGGAGCGGGACCCAGTACCCCAGTGAGAGTCAGCACCTTCAGGAGGGGAGGGGGACCCTGTACACCAGTGAGAGCCAGCATCTTCAGGAGGGGAGGGGGACCCTGTATCCCAGTGAGAGTCAGCACTGTCAGGAGGGGAGGGGGACCCCAGTGAGAGTCAGCACCTCCAGGAGAGGAGGGGAAACCTGTACCCCAGTGAGAGGCAGCACCGTCAGGAGGGGAGGGGGACCCTGTACCCCAGTGAGAGTCAGCACCGTCAGGAGGGGAGGGGGACCCTGTATCCCAGTGAGAGTCAGCACCTTCAGGAGGGGAGGGGGACCCTGTACCCCAGTGAGAGCCAGCACCTTCAGGAGAGGTGGAGGACCTGGCACCCCAGTGAGAATCAGCACCTTCAGGAGGGGAGGGGGACCCTGTACCCCACTGAGAGTCAGCACTTCAGGAGAGGAGGGGAATCCTGTACTCCAGTGAGAGCCAGCACCTTCAGGAGAGGAGGGGAACCCTGTCCCCCCATGAGAGTCAGCAACTTCAGGAGAGGGACCCTGTACCCCAGTGAGATCAGCACCTTCAGGAGGGGAGGGGGACCCTGTACCCCAGTGAGAGCCAGCACCTTCAGGAGGGGAGGGGGACCCTGTACCCCAGTGAGAGCCAGCACCTTCAGGAGAGGAGGGGCACCCGGTACCCCAGTGAGAATCAGCACCTTCAGGAGAGGGACCCTGTACCCCAGTGAGAGTCAGCACCTTCAGGAGAGGAGGGGAAACCTGTACCCCAGTGAGAGTCAGCACCGTCAGGAGGGGAGGGGGACCCCAGTGAGAGCCAGCACCTTCAGGAGAGGAGGGGGACCTGGTACCCCAGTGAGAATCAGCACCTGCAGGAGAGGGATCCTGTACCCCACTGAGAGTCAGCACTTCAGGAGAGGAGGAGAATCCTGTACCCCAGTGAGAGTCAGCACCTTCAGGAGAGGGACCCTGTACCCCACTGAGAGTCAGCACTTCAGGAGAGGAGGGGAATCCTGTACCCCAGTGAGAGTCAGCACCTTCAGGAGAGGGAGTCTGTACCCCAGTGAGAGCCAGCACCTTCAGGAGAGGGACTCTGTACCCCAGTGAGAGTCAGCACCTTCAGGAGAGGAGGGGGACCCTGTATCCCAGTGAGAGTCAGCACCTTCAGGAGGGGAGGGGGACCCTGTACCCCAGTGAGAGTCAGCACCTTCAGGAGAGGTGGGAAACCTGTACCCCAGTGAGAGTCAGCACCGGCAGGAGGGGAGGGGGACCCTGTACCCCAGTGAGAGTCAGCACTTCAGGAGAGGAGGGGAATCCTGTACCCCAGTGAGAGCCAGCACCTTCAGGAGAGGAGGGGGACCCTGTACCCCAGTGAGAGCCAGCACCTTCAGGAGAGGTGGAGGACCTGGCACCCCAGTGAGAATCAGCACCTTCAGGAGGGGAGGGGGACCCTGTACCCCACTGAGAGTCAGCACTTCAGGAGAGGAGGGGAATCCTGTACCCCAGTGAGAGTCAGCACCTTCAGGAGAGGAGGGGAACCCTGTAGCCCAGTGAGAGTCAGCACCTTCAGGAGAGGAGGGGGACCCTGTATCCCAGTGAGAGTCACCACCTTGAGGAGAGGAGGGGGACCCTGTATCCCACTGCGAGTCAGTAAATTTCTGTTGGAAAAAGAGGTCCTCCCAATTTGGGGGAAACAGTTGTGCTGTGGTAGTATCACTGGACTAGTAATCCAGAAACTCAGGCTAATGCTTTGGGGACATGGGTTTGAATCATGGGAAGTGGTGGAATTTTAGCTCAATACAAGTCTGGATTTAAAAATATCCCTAATGGTGACCATGTAACCACTGTTGATAGTTATTAAAAACTCATCTACGTCACTGATGCCCTTTTGGGAAGGAAATCCACCATCCACACCCAGTCTGGCTAACACTAGCTCCAGACCGACAGCTATGTGGTTGATTCTTAACTACCCTTTGGACAACTATGGATGAGTAATAAATACTGTCCAAAATACTGTCCTGGTTAGTGCCCACATCCCATGAACAAATTAAAGCAAACTCACCTGGTTTTACGTGCTGATCCATTCAACTGAGTGACTCTGTCCTCCATTGACCTGGAAGCAAGAAGAGGCAGTCAGGTTGTGAAGGAAAGATGATCCACAACCATCTCTCCAATCAAGTGAGGGAGAGCTAGAAGGGTAAGCAAAGATGGTGAGGTGAGATGAGAGATAAGACCAAAAGGGAAAACAGGAGATGGAGAAAGATGAAGGAAAGGGTGGAGAGATGAGAAGTGGGTCAAGGGGAAGATGGGTGATTGGGAGTGGACAGGTGCCTGCCTATCTCCTCCTTAAATTTACTCCATGTCTCAGCATCCATTACACTCTGGGACAGTGAATTCCACAGACCCTTTGAGAGAAGTGATTTCTCCTCATCTTGGTTTTAAATCTGCTACCCCTTATCATTTTAGACAGCCCCACATGAGGAAATATCCTCTCTATGTCCACTTGTAAATCCCCTTTAGCACCTTATACATCTTCTAAACTGTGGTATTCGTCTAAACTGCTCATTTTTTTCCTCATTAGTCATGCCTTCAATCTCTGGAGTTAACCTTGTGAAACTTCCCCAAACTGCCTCCAATACAACTACGACGTTCCTCAAGTAAGGGGATCAAAACTGCTCGAATCCAAAATGGTCTCAATGACGCCTTGAGCAATTGCAACATTTCCCTAATTTAAACTCCATTCTTTTAGCAATAAGTGCCAAAATTCAATTTACAATCATTATCCCCTCCTGTACCTGCATACTAGCCTTCCACAATTCCCAGATCGTTTGCACTGAAGCAATCTGCAGATTGTCTCCATCAGCCAGATTTTGGCCCATTCACCTTACTGATCCATGTCCATTTGTAACTTGCTTATTATTTCACTGCAACTTCATTTCCCACCAATTTGGTGAGTATCTGGGAAGTGGTTAAGGTCTATTTTGTTCCTCAAGTTTAAAATAGTACAGGTGTTGATGGTATTGCCACAGAGGCACGGTATAGAATCCCCAAAGTGTGGAAACAGGCCATTCAGCCCAACAATCCCACACCAACCCTCCAAAATCATCTTACCCAAACCCATCCTACTACCCTATCCCTGTAACCCTGCATTTCCCATGGCTAACGCACATAACTTTCACATCCCTGAACACTAAGGGTGATTTAGTGTGGCCAATCCACCTAACTTGCACATCTTTGGATTGTGGGAGGAAACCAGAGCACCAGCAGAAACCCATGCAGACATGGGGAGAATGTACAAACTTTACACAGTTGCCCGAGGCTGGAATCGAACCCGGGTTCCTAGCACTGAGACAGCACTGCTGACCACTGAGCCACTGAGCCACTGTGCCACCCCAATGTTAACAAAATATATGAAAATGAAAAGTAACAAAAAAATTAAGTTAATTATCTTGTTAACTAAAACACATTAGGTTGGTAGAAAAGGTGATGCACCACAGCTACAGCATTTGAGCAAACTGGGTGTTCGTGTGATCCAAGGCAAACAAGTAGGCACTGTCACAATAGCAAAAACAGAAGTTGCTGGAAAAGCTCAGCAGGTCTGGCAGCATCTGTGAAGAAGGAAATCAGAGTTAAAGTTTCAGGTCCAGTAACCCTTCCCCAGAACTCTATCGGCACTGTGTGTCTGCACTGGCTCGGAGGTGAAGGCCGAGTACATCAGTGAGGGGAAACGTTAACTGACTATTTTGTACTGGGAGCCAGTTACAGACCTGAGGATAAGGTTGTATAATTTAGTCAGTAGTCAGCGACAGGTGAGTATGCCTGTGTGAGGAAGGTCAGAGGACCCAAAGGCCAGCAGCATAGGTGCCTCAGCCTTTGCAATTGTCCAACAGGGTTGAGGTTTGTCCAGCTTGGATGAGAGTGGAGGCTGCAGGGTGGATGAGCTTAGTGACCATGGTCCAGAAAGCCACTGAAGTGGGAGAGCAATATGGAATGTAGCAGTAGCAGGGGACATACAGTGAGGGGAATTGAAATTAGAAACAGAAGAGTAAAGGCAAGCATCAAATAGGATCAGAATACAGAATAATGTTTCAAAAACAAAGTTAAGGGTACTTTACCTGAACATATGCAGCATTCACAGCAAGGTAAAAGGTACCAAACAGATTTAATTGCCATTACAGGGAAATGGCAATTGACTCGGAACAGAACCTTCAAGAAAGGATGGACAAAAAGCAAAAGGGATGGAATCAGTCCGTCACCAAGAGAGGACTTGAGGATCCGGTTTGGCTGAAGCTACGAAACAGCAAGGGGCAGCTGACGTTGGTGGCCTTGAGAAACGTCCTACCAAAGTGCAGTGGATATAGATCAGGAAATTAGAGATGCATACCATGTGGGTAATAAACAATGGGTGACTTCAATTTAGATACAGACTGGGTTAACCAAGTTAATAGCATTACTGTAGAGATGAATTCTTGCAACGTGTACAAGATGGGTTTCTGAAACAGTACATTAAGAAATCAACTAGAGATCAGGCTATTTCAGATTTGGTATCAAGTAAAGAAGAAGGGTTAATTATGATTCCAGACCCACAGCAATGTGGTTGAGTCTTACATGCCCTTTGTGCAATTAGGGATGTGTAATAAATGCTGGCCTGGCCAATGACACCCCCATCCTGTGAATGAATGAATCCTCTCAGCATTTACCCTGTCAAGCCCCATTTCATATCTTTCAATGAGATCATCTCTGGTTGTTCGATATTCCACTGAGTAGAGTCCCCAACCTGCTCAACATTTGTTCAGAAGACAATCACTCCGTACTAGGGCTCATCCTAGTGAACATTCTCTGAACTTTCTCCAATGAAATTATAGCTTTCCTTATATAAGGAGACCAAAACTGCTCCAGTACTCTAGGTGCGGTCTCACTAGCAACTCACATTAAATTGTCTGCAACAAATATACATTTGCCTAAGACACAAACAGGAAAGATAATTCAACTGTGGCTAACGAAAGAAATTACACAACTTCATTCAAACAGTTAAGGTTCAGATAAGCCTGAGGATTAAGAGCAAATTAGAACCCAGCAAAATCGATCAAGAAAGTGACAGAGATTGGGAAAAATGACATGAGTGCAAACCAGAAAGAAATATTAAAGCTGACTGTAACAGCTACTTTATTGTCGTGAAAAGGAAAATATTAGGAAGGACAAATGCAAGTTCATGTCAGGTGGAAACAGGAGAATTTGTAATGGAGAACAGGGAAATAATGAAGAAGTAAACAACAGAATACCATCAGGATCAGAGGTAGGGTCCCAGCTGTTCACAAGCTATAGAAATGATTGGGGTTTGGGTGATATTTTCTGGACAGAATGACAGAGATCCCCGAGGCTAAGTGTAAGTAAGGAACTGTTTATTGTGTGTTAATCAATGGTATTGTATGTGAATGTGAGTGATATATGGGAAACAAGTAATCAATGGGGTTGTGAGTTGGTACGTGAGCAAGTTGGAATAATATCCAGACCAGAAAAGCATAAGCCTGAACTCCATCTAAACAAGATCGGAACCTCTGCTGTTAATGGGGACCAAATGCAGTATTTCCGAATGTTTTTATTATTCACTTGGGGGGCATGGGCATCACTGGCTGGGCCAGCATTTATTGCCTGCTTCTTGTTGCCCTTGAGAACCCCTGCAGTCCACCTGCTGTGGGCTGACCCACAATGCCCTAAGGCAGGGAGTTTCAGGATTTTGACCCAGTGACCCTGCCCCCTTCCTTCACCCCCATCTGCCCAATCCTTGCTCACTATCCCTTTATAGCCAGATTACGCTGGACCAAGTCAACTAGGAACTCACCCTCGCTGGTTGTCGATGATTGGCTGGTTCAGGATCTCGTTGGCTGCTGGTCGCTTCTCTGGATCCTGAAATAAAGACAGTGAATGATGGGCACAGTGTGCTGTGTATATGCCGAGGGGCACACTGTGCACACCCAGTGGCACCGCGTGTATGCCCAGAGCGCCGTGTGCATGCCCAGGGGCGCCTCGTACATGCCCAGTAGCACAGCGTGCACACCCAGGGGCACACTGTGTACACTGGGGGGAAACCGCGTGCACACCCAGAGCGCCGTGCGCACACCCACAGCGCTGCGTGCACACCCAGCGGCACACTGTGTACACTGGGGGGGAACCGCGTGCACACCCAGAGCGCCACGTGCACACCCAGGGACACACTGTGTACACTGGGGGGAACCGCATGCACACCCAGAGCGCCGCGTGCACACCCAGGGGACTCTGCGCCTTCCCCGAGTGGCATGACAAGGCATGAGTAGATGCAGATGTGTGCATCAAGCTCACCTTATCCAAACACTCCAAGACTATAGAGCGCATGGCCTCACTATATACAGTTGGATCCACATCCATCGTACGCGTTCCCTTCACTATCTTCACACAAAGATTCAGCGGATTCTGGGAAGCAGAAACAAATAAAGTCACTATATTGATCAGTGCAATGGAGGAAAGAGGAAAGAGAGGGCTGGAGAGAGAGGGTGGAAAAGACAAGAGGTGAAAAGCAGCTATGGAAAGAAAGAGAGTGTAAAAGCATGAGTGTGAGAGAGGGGAGTAAAGATAGAGGCGAGGGGCGGGAGAGGGAGGAGCGCAGCCCAGAGGGAGGGAGGCGCGCGGCCCAGAGGGAGGAAGGAGCACGGCTGAGGGAAAGGGAGGAACGCGGCCGAGAGAAAGGGAGCGTGGGAGGGAGGGTGAGATGGAGGGAGGTTGGGATGGTGGAAGAGAGAGGGGGCCGGTAAGACAGAGGAAGAGAAAGAAAGAGTGGGTGGGTGGGGGGAGAAGCAATGGTAGAGGTAGAAAGATAGTGACTGGGGAAAGATGTTTGATAGGGAGATGGGTTGGGGGGAGTGGAGCAAGCAGCATGGAGGCTAAAAGGCTGGGGAAGTGCCAAGTGTTTGGGACAGGGAGGTCTGTAAGGGCAGTGAGAGTTGACGCTGTGGTTCGGGGAGGGAGAGGGAGGGAGAGAGAGAGACAGAGAGAGAAAGGGCTTGGCTGGGATATAGAGGTTGGGAGTGTTGGCGAGTAGGTGGCAGTAGGTGGGGATTGAGGGAGTTGGCTTGGATAGCAGGAACAGATGGGACTGAGTATGAAATGAATATCACGCATTGGCCTCCTACTCAATGGGAGCAGATGGACCCAGATTTCGAGGAGGAAGCAGATTACTTGTCCTATTGAGGTTCATACCGTTGCATCAAATGTTCGAGTGAGGGTCAGCAGTTCGAACAGTACACAGCCGACTGCCCAGATATCCGATTTAAAATTATACTTCTCCCCTTGGCAGAGTTCTGGTGACATGTAATACGGAGTCCCGACACACTGCAGAGAAAACACACGCATCAGCCAGACTGCAGAACAGGCTAGCTGCAATCCCAGCTCAGACTCACAGGAAGAACACCAATATCAGCACTGCACCTCTATTCCAGGGAAAACGTTTCTTCTAGTTCATCTGTACAAGTGAGATTACTCACAATGTTTTATCAAATCACATCAACTCCCACAGTTCTGTCAGTATCAGAGTTTAAATGGGGTTAAAGGATAGGTCAATACAGAAGCCATGGCAGACACTTACACAGATATTGTACAATTCTGCAAAAGTGAGGAAGAAATACTCAAAGGGAAGGAAACCAGTGGAGGGGTCTGTGTTTGGACCACAGCTAATCACATTATACATTAACATTCTGGACAAAAGAACTGAGGGTTTGTTGCTATGTTTACAGATAACACAAAGACAGGTGGCAGGACAGATAGTGTTGAGGTAGCAGGGAGGCTGCAGAGGATTTGGACAGGCTGGGAGAGTGGGCAAAGACGTGGCAGATGGAATACAATGTAGGAAAGTATGAGGTTATACATTTTTGTAGGAAGATTAGAGGCATAAACTATTTTATAAATGGGAAAAGGCTTCAGAAATTTTAAGCACAAAGGTAGTTGGGAGTTCTAGTTTAAGATTCACTTGAGCTTAATGCGCAGGTTCAGTTGGTGGTTAGGAAGGCAAATACAATGTTGCATTCATTTCAAGGGAGCTAGAATGCAGCAGCAGAGATGTACTGCTGAGGTTGTATGAGGTTCTGGTCAGACCACAATAGTAAGTGGTTTTGGGCCCTGACTTGAGTAAGGATGTGCTGGTGTTGGAGGGGATCCAGAGAAGGTTTACAAGAATGATCCTAGAGATGAAGGGCTTGTCATACCAGTAGCAGTTGAGGACTCTGGGTCTGTATATGGAGTTTAGAAGGATGAGGAGGGAATCTGATTGAAACTTACAGAATGCTAGGAGACCTAGATAGAGTGGACGTGGTGAAGATATCTCTCCTACTAGTGACCTAGGACCCAGAAACTCAGCCTTAGAGTGAAGGGATGATCCTTTAGAACCGAGATGAGGAGGAATTTCTTCAGCCAGGGTGGTGAATCTGAGCAACTCATTTTCACAGAGGGCTGTGAGGCCAAGTCATTGAGTGTATTTAAGACAGAAGTAGATAGGTTCCTGATGAGTAAGGGGATCAAGGGTTACAGGAAGAAGGCAGGATAATGGGGTTGAGAAACATATTGGTCATGATCAAATGGAAGACCTGATGTAATGGGCTGAACAGCCTAATTCTGTTCCTATGGTCTTATGGAAGAGAACATAAGAAATTGGAGTCAAATAAATCACTATTTACTTTTAACTTAAATATATTCCATGACACTACACCCACTACATTCTGAGGCGGAGAGTTTCAAAGTCACACGACCCTCTGAGTGAAAACACTCTCCTCATCTCTGTCCTGAAAGGGTGACCCCTCATTTTAAACACTGCCCCCTAGTTCTGGATTGACTCACAGGAAGAACTATTCTTTTGCACAACCACCTTGTCAAGGCCATTCAGGATCTTAGACATTTCAATAAATATATACCTGCTCATTCCAGGTACAACCCAGCAAACCTCCTCTGATTAGTGAACCGCCTCATATGCATTTATATTATCCCTTAAATAAGGAACTGCACGTAGTATTTGAGATGTGATCTCACCAAGGCCCTGGTTAACGGAAGCATAACATCCTTACTTTTATGTTCAATTCCTCTCGGAATAAAGGATAACTCTCCATTAGCATCCCTGATTTTATGCTGTACTTGTGCAGTAACATTTTGTAACTCATACGTGACAGCACATAAATCCCTTTGTACTTCGGAATTCCGCAGTCATTCTCCATTTATGTAACACATTTTTTTCCTCACACTTCCTGTCATCCATGGCTAACTAAGGAAGTTAAAAATTGTATCAAATTGAAAGAAAAAGTGCATAATTCTGCAGATCAGCAGTAGGTGTGAAGGGAGAACACAGACAGAATATTATTTAAATGGAGAGAAACTGCAGAAAGCTGCAGCACACATGAGCAGAGAGATCTCGGTGTCTATGTGCATAGATCACTGAAAGTTGCCACCCAGGTTGGTAGCGTTGTTAAGAAGGCGTACAGTATGTTAGGTTTTATTGGTAGAGGGATTGAGTTTCGGAGACATGAGGTCATGTTGCAGATGTACAAAACTCTGGTGCGGCCGCACTTGGAGTATTGCGTACAGTTCTGGTCGCCGCATTATAGGAAGGATGTGGAAGCATTGGAAAGGGTGCAGAGGAGATTTACCAGGATGTTGCCTGGTATGGAGGGAAGGTCTTATGAGGAAAGGCTGAGGGACTTGAGGCTGTTTTCGTTAGAGAGAAGAAGGTTAAGAGGTGACTTGATAGAGACATACAAGATGATCAGAGGATTAGATAGGGTGGACAGTGGGAGCCTTTTTCCTCGGATGGTGGTGGCTAGCACGAGGGGACATAGCTTTAAATTGAGGGGTGATAGATATAGGACAGATGTCAGACGTAGGTTCTTTACTCAGAGAGTAGTAAGGGCGTGGAATGCCCTGCCTGCAAAAATAGTAGACTCGCCAACTTTAAGGGCATTTAAATGGTCATTGGATAAACATATGGATGATAACGGAATAGTTTAGGTTAGATGGGCTTCAGATTGGTTTCACAGGTCAGCGCAATTTTGAGGGCCGAAGGGCCTGTACTGCGCTGTAATGTTCTATGTTCTATGTTTAAAGGTATTTCGAGGGGGTTGCTGTGTAAGAGTAGAGAAGTCTTACGGAAGCTGTACAAGTGAGGCCACATCTGGAGGACTGTGACCAGTTTTGGTCCCCATATTTAAGGAAAGGTATCATTTCATTGCAGGAAGTTCAGAGAATGTTCACTAGAATGATCCCTGGTATTGAGGGATTAAAGATTAAACAGGCTGGAACTCATTGGAATTCAGAAAAATGAGAGGTTGAAATATATTGGATTCTTAAAGGGCATGACAGAGTAGATACTAAGAGGATGCTCGCCGTCAAATGAGAGTCCAGGACCAGATGGTATAGTCTCAGAATAAAAGGGCACCAATTTAAGACTCAGACGAGGAGGAATTTCTTCTCTCAAAGGGTTGAGAGTCTTTGGAACTCCTTGTCACAGAGGGCTGTGGGGACAGAGTCCTTGTGTGTATTTAAGGCTGAGATAGATAGATTCTTGATCAGTCAGGAACTAAGGGTTACCAGAAAAGGAAAGCAGACGTGAGGAATGTCAGATCAGCCACAATGCTACTAAATGGTGGAGCAGGCTCAAAGAGCCGATCGGCCTACTCCTGTTCCTATTTCTTATCGACTAAGATTGGACAGTATTTAAAAAATTACAAGGACTGATTTAAGAACTAAAAGGAGGAAGAAATTCCAGTATGAGGGGAAACTATGTGGAAACATCAAAACACGTACAGGTCTTTAAACACAAAAACTGTACAAAAAAGTGTTGGTCCTCTAGAGAGTGACTCTGGAGAATTAATAATGAATGATAGCAAAACGGCTGATGAATTGAACAGCTATTTTGTAACTATCTTTATAGCAAGGAATCACATTCCAGAAATAATTATAAATAAGGAAGTAAAAGTGAGGGAGGATCTTTCAACATTTACAGTCTTCAAGGAAAAGATACGAAGGAATTATTAGAACTAAAATCTGATTAAAGTGAAGGTCCTATTTCCAGGTTTGCAGATGACAACAATAGTTGGGAAGGTGAGGATGACACAATGAGTCTACAGAGGGATATACTCAGGTTAGGGAAGTAGGCAAAAACTGGGCAGTTGGAATATTATGTAGGATGATGTGGACAAGAACAAAATACTGCTGTCTGGGGGCACAGACCGGATCACAGCCCGGGTCTGGGGGCACAGAC